CGCCGCAGCCACCGATCGTCCCATTCCCACATTCCCACATTCCCACATTCCCAGATTCCCGGGATGTCTCACCAGGCTCTCCACCTTGTACCGCAGCCACCGGTCGTCCCATTCCCACATTCCCACATTCCCACATTCCCAGATTCCCAGGATGTCTCACCAGGCTCTCCCCCTCGCGCCGCAGCCACCGATCGTCCCATCCCCACATTCCCACATTCCCACATTCCCAGATTCCCGGGATGTCTCACCAGGCTCTCCACCTCCCGCCGCAGCCACCGATCGTCCCATCCCCACATTCCCACATTCCCACATTCCCGGGATGTCTCACCAGACTCTCCACCTTGTACCGCAGCCACCGATCGTCCCATTCCTACATTCCCACATCCCCACATTCCCACATTCCCACATCCCCACATTCCCGGGCTGTCTCACCAGGCTCTCCACCTCGCGCCGCAGCCACCGATCGTCCCATCCCCACATTCCCACATTCCCCCATTCCCAGATTCCCGGGATGTCTCACCAGGCTCTCCCCCTTGTGCCGCAGCCACCGATCGTCCCATTCCCACATTCCCAGATTCCCAGATTCCCGGGATGTCTCACCAGGCTCTCCACCTCCCTCCGCAGCCACCGGTCGTTCCATTCCCACATTCCCACATTCCCACATTCCCACATTCCCGGGATGTCTCACCAGGCTCTCCACCTCGCGCCGCAGCCACCGATCGTCCCATTCCCACATTCCCACCTTCCCACATTCCCGGGATGTCTCACCAGGCTCTCCCCCTCGCGCCGCAGCCACCGATCGTCCCATCCCCACATTCCCACATTCCCAGATTCCCAGATTCCCGGGATGTCTCACCAGGCTCTCCACCTCCCTCCGCAGCCACCGGTCGTCCTCGAGCATCTCGCGCTGCTGCCGCTCCATGACCCGCTCCACCCGCAGCCTCTCCAGCTCCAGCAGCCTCTGAGCCTCCTCCCGGCTGCTGGGCCGCAGGAAATCCTCCTCCTGGAGCCCCCCCGGGAACAGGGATCAGGAGCCGGAATTCCCGCCGGGATTTCGGGATCGACGGCGGCGCCGCGCGCGCCGGATCCCAACGGCTGCTGTTCCGCCCTAAAGGAACCGCCCCAAAGTCCCAAGGAACTGCCCTAAAGTCCCGAGGAACTGCCCTAAAATCCCAAGGAACTGCCCCAAATTCCTGAGGAACCACCCTAAAATCCCAAGGAACAGCTCCAAATTCCTGAGGAACCGCCCTAAAATCCCAAGGAACAGCTCCAAATTTACAAGGAACCACCTCGAATTCCTGAGGAACCACCCCAAAGTCCCAAGGAGTTGCCCTAAAGTCCTGAGGAACCACCCTAAAGTCCCAAGGAACTGACCCAAATTCCTGAGGAACTGACCTAAAGTCCCAATGAACTGCCCTAAAATCCCAAGGAACAGCTCCAAATTTACGAGGAACCACCTGAAATTCCTGAGGAACCACCCCAAAGTCCCAAGGAGTTGCCCCAAATTCCCAAGGAATTGCCCTAAAATCCCAAGGAACTGCCCCAAATTCCAGAGAAACTGCCCTAAAGTCCCAAGGAACCACCCTAAAATCCCAAGGAACTGCCCCAAATTCCAGAGAAACTGCCCTAAAGTCCCAAGGAACCACCCTAAAATCCCAAGGAACTGCCCTAAAATCCCAAGGAACTGCCCCAAATTCCCAAGAACCACCCTAAATTCCCAAGGAACAGCTCCAAATTTACGAGGAATCACCCTAAAATCCCAAGGAACTGCCCTAAAATCCCAAGGAACTGCCCTAAAATCCCAAGGAACAGCTCCAAATTCCCAAGAAACTGCCCTAAAGTCCCAAGGAACCGCCCTAAAATCCCAAGGAACTGCCCTAAAATCCCAAGGAACTGCCCCAAATTCCCAAGAAACTGCCCTAAAGTCCCAAGGAACCGCCCCAAATTTCCAAGGAACCACCCTAAAATCCCAAGGAACTGCCCCAAATTCCCAAGAAACTCCCCTAAAGTCCCAAGGAACCGCCCTAAAGTCCCAAGGGATTGCCCCAAATTCCTGAGAAACTGCCCTAAAATCCCAAGGAACAGCTCCAAATTTACGAGGAACCACCTGAAATTCCTGAGGAACCACCCCAAAGTCCCAAGGAACCCCCCTAAAATCCCAAGGAACAGCTCCAAATTTATGAAGAACCGCCCCAGATTCCTGAGGAGCCAAACCCCAAACCCAAAGGGCCAAACCTCAAGGGACAAACCCCAAACCCAAAGGGCCAAACCTCAGTGGCCAAACCCCAATGGCCAAACCCCAAACCCCAATGGCCAAATCCCGAACTCCAATGGCCAAACTCCAATGGCCAAACCCCAAACTCAAGGGGCCAAACCCCAGCGGCCAAACTCCAAACCCAAAGGGCCAAACCCCAATGGCCAAACTCCAAACTCCAGTGGCCAAACCACAAACCCAAAGGGCCAAACCCCAATGGCCAAATCCCAAACCCCGATGGCCAAACTCCAATGGCCAAACCCAACCACTTCAAACCCAACTGTTTGCTCCCGAGCAACACCAGGATCAACACCGGGATCGACACCGGGATCGACACCAGGATCGACACCAGGATCGACACCGGGATTGACACCAGGATCGACACTGGGAGCAACACCGGGATCAACACTGGGATCGACACCGGGATCAACACCGGGATCAACACTGGGATCGACACCGGGATCAACACCGGGATCAACACCGGGATCAACACTGGGATCAACACCGGGATCAACGCGGAGCTTTGAAGCAGCAGCGGGAAGCGGAGCAGGGAGGTTTCCCGGGATGAGGCTGGGAATGCGGGAAGCAGAGCGGGGAGGTTTCCCGGGATGGGGATGCCCTCGGGAAGGCGCGGGATGCCGGGAACATGGGAAGCAGAGCAAGGAGGTTTCCCGGGATGAGGCCGGGAATGCAGGAAGCGGAGCAGGGAGGTTTTCCGGGATCAGGATGTGCTCCGGAAGGCCAGGAATGCAGGAAGCGGAGCAGGGAGGTTTCCCGGGATGGAGATGCCCTCGGGAAGGCATGGGAGGCTGGGAATGCAGGAAGCGGAGCAGGGAGGTTTCCCGGGATGGAGATGCCCTCGGGAAGGCATGGGAGGCTGGGAATGCGGGAAGCGGAGCAGGGAGGTTTCCCGGGATGGCGATGCGCTCCGGAAGGTGTGGGAGGCCGGGAAAGCGGGAAGCAGAGCAAGGAGGTTTCCCAGTATGAGGTTGGGAATGTGGGAAGCAGAGCAGGGAGGATTCCCGGGATTGGGATGCGCTCCGGAAGGTGTGGGAGGCCGGGAAAGCAGGAAGCAGAGCAAGGAGGTTTCCCAGTATGAGGTTGGGAATGTGGGAAGCAGAGCAGGGAGGTTTCCCGGGATTGGGATGCCCTCGGGAATGCACGGGATGCTGGGAATGGGGGTCTTACCCTCATGCTGCGGCGCTGGAAGGCGCCGGCGTGCCGGTGGGGCGGCGGCGTGCGGAGGGTGCCGGGCGGGTGCGGGCACTCGGCGGGGCTGGCGAGGGCGGGGGAGCTGGCACAGAGACCCTCCGGAACCTGGAATGGCGGGAAGGGTGGGAATGGGGGCATGGCACCGAGTGGGGAAAGGGGTTAGTGCGGGAATGAGGATGGGCACGGGGAGGGACACGGGAGGGACACGCGGATGGGCACAGGGATGGGCACAGGGATGGGCACATGGATGGGCACAGGGATGGACACACGGATGGACACACGGATGGGCACATGGATGGGCACATGGATGGACACACGGATGGACACATGGATGGGCACAGGGATGGGCACATGGATGGACACACGGATGGACACATGGATGGACACACGGATGGGCACAGGGATGGGCACATGGATGGGCACATGGACGGACACACGGATGGGCACATGGATGGACACACGGATGGGCACACGGATGGGCACAGGGATGGACACATGGATGGACACACGGATGGACACACGGATGGGCACATGGATGGGCACACGGATGGACACACGGATGGACACACGGATGGACACACAGATGGGCACATGGATGGACACATGGATGGGCACAGGGATGGGCACATGGATGGACACACGGATGGGCACACGGATGGACACATGGATGGACACACGGATGGACACACGGATGGACACACGGATGGACACATGGATGGACACACGGATGGGCACATGGATGGGCACATGGATGGACACACGGATGGACACACGGATGGACACACGGATGGACACATGGATGGACACACGGATGGACACACGGATGGCCACACGGATGGGCACAGGGATGGACACACGGATGGGCACAGGGATGGACACACGGATGGACACACGGATGGACACACGGATGGGCACACGGATGGGCACATGGATGGGCACATGGATGGACACATGGATGGACACACGGATGGGCACAGGGATGGACACATGGATGGACACACGGATGGACACACGGATGGGCACACGGATGGGCACATGGATGGGCACATGGATGGACACATGGATGGACACACGGATGGGCACAGGGATGGACACATGGATGGACACAGGGATGGACACATGGATGGACACACGGATGGACACACGGATGGGCACACGG